CCCCACCCCCTTCCCCCTAGTCTTCCGGTTTGTAAAAACGGCCGGCATACCGAAAGCACCCCAGGGAGTGTCGGGGCGGGGTGGAGGGGGTCACCCCCCTCCTCTGGTGATTTAGGGAGTTGAGACCCCGTCTCGTTACGCTACCGTACGCCATGCATCCACTGTGTGTGTGTGTGTGTGTGAGTGTACAGAGTTCTTCTTTGAGCAGGTTCATAAGGCTTGACTCAGCGGTGCAGCAGTCGCACCGTCCTCGCGCTCGTTGAGAAATGACACCTCTCCTGCAAACGACCAGAAAATGGTCAGTGAAAAGTCTTGAGCGCGGGCGGGGGGGCTGCGTACTCCGCTCCGTAGGGACCTCCAGACGAGAGGGGACGCCGCGCCCTGCCGCAGCTCCCCCCCCCCCCAACATCTCCGCCGCACACAGCCGCGCGGCGGTGCAAGTAAGCAGTGGGAGGGACCGGAGCGCATAAATTTTCACACTGCAGCACCCCGGCCAGTCTCGCGTCAAGTTCACGGTGGTGGTGTCATCTTTGTAAAAGGCGCAAATGCATTCTGATTCCGTTGGGTTTTCTTTTTTTGCCGGCCGCCCGCGTATGGTTATGGTCATGGTGGCGGACCTCTCTGATTACCGCAGACGATATGCGAAGAAAAAAAATCCAGTTACTGCCACAGATGGCCGCCGCTCTTTTTCTGCACTCACACCCACCCAGAACATTTCACAAATGTTGCACAGAAAGAGCTGCAAAATGGTGATTTTCGCTTAAATTCCATTGAAAGCTTGGCACGTGTGACCTCTTGTTTTCGTTTTCATTGGCTGCATTGGGAGTGCCGCTCGTGTCGCCAGGGTGTGGGAACGCACCCGAACGCTGAAAACAGCGCGTATACATACGTTGAGCACCACTCTTTTGTCTCTCCCGTCTCGGCACCGTGGAGCTGAAAAAAAATATCGCGGTGTTTGCTCCCTTGTAATTGAATAAAATACAGCATTAGGAAAAAAAAGATAGCTTGCAGGTTGCTACAAGCTGTTCCATCTAAATTCACCTGACAATTGTTCCGCTATACCTGCGACAGGTGTGTTCTCATTGGTGCACCATCGGCTTTTCTCAGGCTGACACGGCCTTTGCTCTTGTAGTGTTTTACGGTGATGTACCGCGTACCTCCATCCGTCTCGTGAACCTAACAATTCCCTTCGCCTCGCCCTCGTTGGGCGATGAGTATGTCTTTGCCGCCGCGTTCGTTTAATTTCTCGCGATCGCCGAAGCGAGTTTTCAGGCTCCGCGCCGCAGCCTCTCAGCCTCCCTCGGGCCGTCGATGCCACGCACGTTAATTTGCATGTCTCCCTTTATTCTCCCATGACGGGTACTGCTCGGCTCGGCGCGGCGCTGGATTGTCTAGCGAGAGAGCCCCCCTCGGCCCTCGGGCTGCAGCTCTCCCCCGCGGGTCCACATGGCGCCTCCACCTCTACGAGTCCCCGTCACTCGGACGCCCCCGCGGGCGCGGCCAACGGCGCGCTTATAATTTCCCTCTCGCCGGGAATTCCCTCACCGCGCCCGATTACCCCAGGCAGGCGCCTCGACTCCACGCCACGGCCGAGGTGTGAAGTAGAGGGAGTTCCCTCGTGAACATGATGGGTCCCCCCGGGGGCTGCGCCAGGCCGATAAGCTAGCGCACAACGGGTTACGTTTTCCGCTTCCAGCGGTCGTCTCTTTATTAATGACATAACAAAAAATGTACACGGAACACTCACACACACTCACACACACACAACATGACAATCTCTTAAAATTATGACTTTAGGGGTGAAAATTGTACAGGGAAAAATATAGAAATATTACAGTAGTAGTGTATCGGAATAAATATACAAAACATATCGACTCAATACATCTCTATGGTAACATTTTTAAATCACAAAAAGTTATTTGTCTTTCTTTCTTCGTCTAGTACTGGTACCCACCATTGGCAGCATACCCTCCGCCGCCGCCAGCGTTGCCGCCGCCTCCGCTGCCACCGCCGCCACCCCCTCGGCCGCCTCCGCCGCCACCAGAGTAACCTCCAGGACCACCTCCGCCACCACCGCCTCCTCTGCCGCCGCCGCCACCGCTAGGTCCACTGGGGCCGCCTCCGTATCCGCCACCACCGCCTCCTCTGCCGCCGCCTCCGCCGCTAGGTCCGCTGGGGCCGCCTCCGTACCCGCCGCCGCCGCCACCGCCGCTTGGTCCACTGGGGCCGCCTCCGTATCCACCGCCGCCTCCGCCGTTTCCGCCGCCTCCGCTGCCACCTCCGTAACCTCCAGGTCCGCCTCCGCCACCGCCTCCACTAGCCTCCTCGGCGGCGTTGGCGGCCAGGGCCTTCTGAATGGCCTCGGGGATGGGTGGTGGCGTGGGCAGGTGGGCGCCTTGGGGCACGAAGCCGTTCTCGTCGGCGGTGTAAGTCAGCTCAATGCGCTGGCCCTCAGGGGAGGTGTACGAGAAGGACCCCTTGGCGCTCTGGATGCCCTCGTCGCCGCCAGGCTTCAGCTCACCCTGCTCCTCGGCCTGGATGCCATTCTCCGTTTCGTAGCTGCAAAGCAAAGTTCAAAAAGGTTTGTAAAAGTTTGTCGTAAACGCCATGGTGGACAGACACTTGAGATCACAGAAACAGATACACCAACTAACAGTATAAATGTTATTTTCATCCGTAAAAATTTAATCTAATCAGGTTTTGATGCTTTAAAAGAAAATTTACACCTTGTTAAACTAAAATACTTTGGCAAGGCACTGGAATGTACTCACCTCCACGAATAGGTGCCGTCGCCGTTATTCACGTTGGTCTGCTTAATGATGGCGATCTGCTTGCCGCCGCCGCCACCGCCGCCGCCAGAGCCGCCAGCGCCGCCCCCGAAGCCTCCACCTCCAGAAGGACCACCGCCGCCGCCAAACCCGCCGCCGCCGCCGCTGGGGCCGCCTCCGAAGCCTCCACCGCCGCCACCACCGGGGGCGCCGCCGTAGCCTCCTCCGCCGCCGCCGCCACTAGGGCCGCCGCCGAAGCCGCCGCCGCCACCGCCGCTGGGAGCGCCGTACGAAGGAGCGGGCCTGCCACCGCCACCGCCACCGCCGCCGCTTGGGCCTCCGGGACCTCCAGGTCCACCAGGTCTTCCTCCCCCGCCGCCTCCGCCTCCGCCTCCGAAGGGCGTCTGCAGACCCGCGCCGCCGCCGGCCCCGGAGCCGCCCCTCGGGGGCAGGTACGTGTTGTCCAAGCGAGCGGCGGCGGCGCACCCGGCCGCCACCAGCACCGCCACCATCTGCGGGCAAAAACAGGCGAGCGTCAGGAGCGCACGTCAGGGGGTCAGTGGGGGCAGCGCGGCGCAGCGGAGTTGCCAACAGGCAATTTGCTGCACGTCACGTAAAGTGATGCGGTGTGGCTGGACGGGGATGGCCGGCTGCGGGCTGCATGGCGATAGTGCAAAAATAGTGAAATCTGTCTGCTGGCGCAGTCCGCGCGTGCGTGCCGGCTGAGCAAGCGGGGTGTCGCGGGGCGCGGGGCCGCTGGTCACCGGGACCGAAACGAGCCGAGAATCTGAAGCCTACTCTAATGTCGCGCCATTAGGGGCCCGAACACCAGGGTCCCTCTGGGATCTCACAAACCAAGAGTTGATGTAATCGGAATGCAAACGCAATGCGAGCGGTGTGTGGGCGCTTGGCGTGGCGTGGCGCGGCGGGGCCCAGCGGAGACCGTGCCGCACGGCGCCCGCCGGCCCGTGGCCGCGCCACGCCACGCGCTGCACTTGCAGTCGTGAGCTACCATTGCGCTCATTTTAGCGGCTCGGGAAAGGGAAAAACACGCCTTGTGAATGCAAAATCAGCTACACGACCTCCGTCGGGCCGAAAATCACTGATTACATTTTTGCTCAAAGAAAAGGATTAAACTCGCGCAGTTATTTAGATAATTTTCAGATACCTGATATCGCTTAGCTGTCTAGCTCACGCTTTTACCCAACTTTACGAAAACTTTAAATCGTAGTCGGCAATGATGGGAATGACTGAAAAAGAGATGCTAAACCATCAATATCTTTCCTGATTAATTGTTTGTTAGATCCTCGTGGTGCCCCATACCATAACATTATTATTACATTACTATCCGACCACCTCATTCATTAATGCATGCAAGGCTCATGGCATTGCTGCCCCGCTTGCTTGGGCGGGTAATGTTCCGTGACGATGGCGAGTCTGAGAGGGCGAAAGGGATATTATGAGAAGGCTGTGTGCTGCAGCATCACGGCCTGGACCCGCCTCTGCGCCTGCTGCCTCTTGACCTGCATTGCCATTGCCTCCCTCTTCCTCCCCCGCCTCTCCCCCCCTGACTCGCCCTACCTCATGTCCAGCCAGGAGCGCGTCGTCTTCTGTGCTAATCGACCCCCGCCCCCACTCCCCCCGCAGCTGCCTGGTAAGGAAACTTTGTCAATCATTGCTCTCTCTCTCTCTCTCTCTCTCTCTCTCTCTCTCTCTCTCTCTGCTTCACCTCGACGGGGCTCTCTGCGCCATAAACCTGCGGGGTAGGGACCTTCAGGCGCGACCGACCCCTGACCTGCGGGCGGCTACTGTTAGCATTCAATTGAGAGAGGAAAGAAAGAAAGAAGGAGACGGGACGAGAGGCGGCGCGACGGGGGCGGGGATGGAGTGATGAAGGCTGGAAGAGATAGACCGCGAGAGGGAAAAGGGGGAAAAGGAGTGGAGGATAGAGACAAAGACTCAGCCCGGTACGGCAGCGCGGTCATAGCGATAGAGGAGGACGCGCCCTCTGGAAGCGCTCCAAGGCGACCGTGTCGGCGGTGCGTTTAGTGACGCTTGAGCTTGACCGGCGCTGTCACCCCCACCCTCCTACCCAATGCAATAAGGAACCTCACAAATATTTTTTATTGCTGTAGAAAATGATGGCTGCTCATTGAAAAAAAAAATAATCAAAATTAAAATAAACTACAATTCCTTTACAGTGTGCAGTGGCCACACCTGACCCACTTGTCGACGGACTCGCAACACGACAATGGATGTCTGAAGACCCCTTCTGCACGGTGCGTATACGCGGCCTGTCCGTAAAAGCCCTGGCCAACTTTTGTCAACTTTTCACTCGACCCTGGTCAGAGGTCAATAACGTTCACTCAAAACATCACAACAACACACCACCTAAAATGAGCCGTAGTAAAATATTGGCCCGTCCGAGATCCGCAGTAAAAGGTGCGGTGGTATCGTCAGTCAACGGAGTCGGAAGCGGGCGCGCGTGTTTGGTGAGCCCGAGCCAGCCCCCGTCTCTACGATCCACTTTTCACGCGGGTTAGCACACTATTACAAGCGGCCAAACAGCCCGGCCAAAGCGTTTTACCGCCCGTGTAATGGGCCGGCCGGTGGGTCCGAGCGCGTGCGGGCCGAGCTGCCGGCCAGTGGGACCAGTAGTGGGACGCACCCTGCTCCGCCCTGCTCGCGCCCGCCCCGCCCAGGCCGCGACGGTCCGGCCGGTCAGTCGGCGGTCATAAAGACGGCCGCTGGATGATCATTGCAGGGAGCCGTCCTTGACCTCCGAGGCCGCCGCCGGCCGGCTGGGGGACCGACCCCCTCTCTCCGCATTCCCCGCCGGACGGAATATGGATGAACCAGAGCAGCGGGTCCCGGCTCGGCCCGGCCGAGGGAAAATGGGATGCGATTGCGCTTATTTTCATGTGACTTTTACGGCTTTGTTTTCAGCATACAATCCGAAAATCGCGTCGTTTTCGGAGGTCAGAAATATTCGGCAGGGAGGAGGATGACGGTAGTGTGAGGGAGGGGGTGAGAGAGAAAGAGAGAGTGATTGTGAGGGTGAGAGAGGGAGAGAAGGATTTAGAGTTTAGAGCCCCGCAAAGAGCGAGCTACGCGAGCTAGACCCCATTCTTCGACAGGTGAGAGGGGGGTTGGGGGTAGGCATTTAGCTCGCGTAGCTCATCGCTCTAGAAGGATTGTGGGAAGGGTTTGCTAGGAGAGGTAAGTAGATGAGTGCGCGGCGAGGGCTAGATATGAGAGGAGCTCCAGTGTGCCCCGCGCCGGGGTCAGCCAGCCGGTGCAATATGGTGGCGCTATCAGATCCTCGGCGCACACGCTTAGCGGAGCACAGGCTGGGCCGGGCCGAGCCGGGCCGGGCTGCGAGATTGAGATGTCCTATATTCTTGGCGCCAAGCAGTCGGCTTTGTGCTGGGGGTGAACAACAGTGCGCCCGTGGGAGTGCACTCCTGGCACCTGGCGGCGCCCGGCCGGCCTGGTGAGGTCGGGCGGGGCGGGCGCACCATATACGCGCCGCCCGGCCCATGGGGCGCATTCTGCCGCGTGACCCGGAACACCTAAGGCTGACGACAGGGTGCATCTGCCATTTCGTCTAACCAGATAACTTTCTGTTTCTCGCAGAAGCACGAATTCGTTGACTATTTCAAGGACTGCCGCAATGTGTGATTCCGAACAGAGAAGCTCCTATCCTAATTACGATGTAAGTTTAATATAAATATATGTTTTCCTAGTATGAACCATTTTCGGAAGTTTTCGAAAAATGTGAAACAGTATTAAAACCTTATATAAACGGAAATTTTAGTCTTTACATCACTGCGCTCTACAGTCTACACCCTCGACGGAAAGGTGAGCGGTCGTGTCCTCAGCAGTCGAGTGCGACACAGGGCCGGTGGTACAGGGCAGGGATATTGGCCGCACCCAAGCGACTGCCAGCGCCTGCCTCAGCCTCCTCGGCCGCGGCGGTGCCTGCCTCACGAGAGATAAGGAGAGGCGGAGGCGGGCGCGTGACCCGGGTCACGGCGGCAGCTGGCACAGCCGCCCTTACGGGCACGCCGCATGCGACACACACACACTCACAAATATATATGTACACACACAGACACACACGAGAAGGACCGCCGCGCCGTTCCAAAGGTCACCAAACTGTCACATAGTTAGGTCCGCCCTTGAGGGCGCCGCCGCCGCCACCGCGGTCCCTTTCGCCCCGATTGATTTGCATAATTAGGCATTCGCCTTACAATCCGGCTGCTGCTCCGCTGCCGCTGCTGTTGGCGACGAAGGACCTCACGCCGAGCGGCGACCTGCACCGAGTGCAAAACTTAACCGGTGCATAAGTTTGGACTCGCCCGCGACTCGCACTGACTCTGGTGTCTTACTGTCCATATTTGTCGGTCTTGCATGTTTGGCAGCCGAATGCCATCCGCCCGACCCGACAGGTGGATGATGCGGGCTTGCCTTCCCCTTACCCGTCTATAGCGCGCAAGGTGCGCGTCGTCGTTTCAATGAGAAATCAAAATCAAACCCATTTTCAAAGATCAGGGAATCGAATCCTCTAAAGAGTGGACGTATTAGCCTCACTGTTATTCGAAAGACAAATCATGTCCAAAAATGCAGAAGAGGAGAGTTTCCTCGAATGACCGTTAATTTGCATAAAGCTGTGGACAACTACCCTGAAAGTCCTCACTGACATGTCACGATAGCGCACAATCACACGCACGCACTCGCACACAAACACTCCTGGTGGCGGCCCTTGGCCCTTACCAAACGCATTGTGGTCGCCGTTATCCTTGTTCGCGCACGGCCGCGGTGCACTGGCTGAGAGTACTGAGCGTCCGTGCACCTCCACTAGCGCATTTATACGGCGGGCCCAGCTGGGTCTAGCGCTGCATGGCCTGCTGTGTCGCGCTGCTGCTGCTGCTGCTGCTGCTGCTGCTGCTGCTGCGGTGGTGGAGGCGGCGGCGGAGGCAGCGGCGCGCGCTGCACCGACCCACCCCCGCGATGCGGTCTTGCCCCCCTCCGCGCCCCTCCGCCCCGGGGGACCCTAGGCGAGACATGACTCCCACCAGTGGGCCCAGCCGGCCTGCCGCCGGGGCCCTGGGGGGCCCTGGGGGGGCGCGGCGCCCGAGGGGGGCACGCGGGAGCCCGCGGCGGCGGCGGCGGCCCGCGGCTAGCCCCCGGGGCGCCTGGCCCGGCCCGTGCCGCCGCGGGTCGCGCGGGGCACATTCCCGTGAGCCTAACTCGACAGCCGTCCACGGCGGCGGGGGCCCCTACAGCTTGGCCACCCCGCGGGGGGCCAAACCGCCAACGAGAAATGTCGCTTTTCGGCGGTACTGCCGCCCTCTGAAGGAGCACACTGTGTCGCTGGTCACGATGCTCATCTGGTCGTTTTCGGCGCGGCCGCCGTGTTCGCCCGTTACCTGGGGGGG